TGAAATCCTCACAGAGTAACAGCTTGAATCTCAAACCAGACTAGGATTTTCCATGAACATTCCCTTGCCTGTGTAACTTCAGTGACTAACTGTTCTCCCAGTGAGGAATAAATTCGTAACACCCATAATAAAATCATATTACCAAGAGGCATTTCTCCAGAGGCAACTCCTCATCCTTCACATCTCTTGTCTGTCAGGCCACTGAGTACCCAAGCAGGAAAAGAGTTCCCAAATTACAACGTGCATTGGTCTGGGAAAAAAAATCCTCTCCCAACAGAGGCACTGGTGTGATAAGCACAGAATTTCAGCTGCCCAGTATTTCACACGAGTAGGTTCTGAGATGCAACAAAATATTTGCTCTCTGGAATGCAGAGAGGAAGACGAAAGAATTCTTCTCAGCATTCCCCAGGGTCCCATTCAAACATTTCCTCTGACATTACCAAAAATGCAGCTCAACTCCAAGTCATGTGAGTGCTGTTTGACCAATACCTTGCTTAAGGAATGGCATGAGAAATACTCTGCAGCCACTGGAGACTTGCTTGAAAACTATTATTAAGCCACAGTTCAATTTTACAAGAAGTCTAACCCTTGCTACTTATATAAAAGGAACCATGAGATCTGCAGCAATTTCTTTTTTAAAAAAATCAGTTTCCTGCATTCTTCTGAACTGTTCTAGCTACTGTTAAAAATCAGCTCCTAAATCTAGAACATATATTTAATAGCTCTGATTTCTGATGCTAAAAGTTGAATGCATGTATCATTACAAGCAGAGCTGCTGTCTCCAGACTGCTCATGAGAACACAAGCAATATACAAGATGAAGCTGTAATTTGAAGTCTCATCTGAGTCTCACACTCAGTGACTTACCGTAGTTAGACTAATCGGATTTGTCTAAGAATAATCACCCTGACACCTTCAGATGTTGTAAACACAAATCTAAGATTTTCCTGTCATAAAAATATCCACCAGTTATGCTTCAGACAGCAAGTCCCTGCTACTTAGTTTATTAAAAATTACCTGATGAAATTTTAGAAAAACTCACATGAACACTCGAGAAAGACTTGTAATGTGATTTTCCTAGGTTTACAAAGATTATGAATCAAGGGCTGCTTTAGTACTGCTTTTAGTACTACTCATGCCTTCCAGTGCTGTCTCACAAGGTAACAACCATAATTTCTGATGTTTATGTAAAATGACCCACCATTTAGCAAAAACTTAAATAAAGGGATGACTGAAGAAAAAAATTAAATATTGCACAAATAATTTAACTGCAGACAGAACAGGACACTTAAAGCATTGATTCTTCTGTCAACATATGAACTCTATTATATAGTCACATTTTCTATAATACAGGGGTTTTTTTACAAGACAATTAAATTCAGCATTTACATAAACAGTTATCTTTACAGTCTGTCACCAAAGAGTTAAAGAGTCCCATGGGGAATTAATTCTGTCTTTGTTTTAAAAGTTCATCTATCTGAGTCTTGTACATGTTTTTCACATCTTCCAGATCCAGCCGGAGTTCCTCAGCCTCCTCTGCCTTCTCCCCATACATCTGGAGAATGGTGTTGTACCTCTGATCCAAATCCTGCAAGGACACACTTTGTTATTTCACTGCTGTTCAGCTTCAAACAAGCTGCTGCTGGGACAGTGTTTTACACCACCAGCAGGGGAAATAAGTGCAGCACTACCTTATCAAAGTCTAACTACAGTGAAGCACACAGCAAACTCTTCAAAAGTACTTTGTGCTTTGAATACAGCTAAATTTATATTCTAGGTGTTAAAGGAAGACAAAGATCCTAAAGGTTAAAAGTTCCAAAGATCCTAAAAAGAGTTAGTGATGGTTTCAGAGGGCATCCTGAAGCACCTTCCAGTTCACTCACTATAAGCATTAAAATCAGAAAAGTGCACTGTTTTACTACAGGAATGATCAGTTTGTGAAATGTTTCATAAGAAAATGGAACATACTGTATTCAAAAATTATTCCAAAACTTTTCCAAATATTTCAGTTTCAATTCAATAGGATTAAATTATTTGTCCTATTTCCTGTATCTATACTGGACACATATTCAGCTTCTGCATCAACCTCATAAACCCATGCTATTTATCAAAATACTCATTCCACTAAAAAAACCAGTTCTAGACAAGTGACTAAATGACAGGAACAAAAGTGGTCTCTCCCTGATTTAGCACACAGTCTTGCACACAGCACATGTTTCCAACAGATGTGTTCTGAAGTGACTGCCAAACCATGGAGTGGGCAATCTTAGATTCTACTACATAAAAGAAAAAACCCAAAAAACAGGCTCTTCAGTCACTTATGCCTAGAGACAGATTTGAATATATTCCTAAACTGATAAGACTACTCCTAAAGAAATGCAATTATCTATATTTTATGATGGATTTACACCAGAAATTCACTTACCTTTAACTGTATGCGTAATTTTGGTACTTCCTTCACTTTTTCTTCAAGCTCATCATTTTGATTTGTTAATTTCACCAGCTCTTCTGCCATTATTGATCGAGTTTTCTCCAGGTTTCCAATTTCCAGCTAGGGTAAACACAAATAACAAGCAGAAGAATTCACTGTATTTATAAAACACCATATCAAAATACCACCAGACTACAAAACAGCACAGCTCAGATCCACTCTCACTTTCTCCTCAAGTCTCATTGTCCTGGATTTTTTTTACTTTTCAGACAGATAGGTTTTCTGGATAGGTCCTTGCCAAAACAAAAAAAAAGAAGCAACAAATCCTTCTCACCCTCATCCCTACACAGCTGTGTTCACAGAATTCTCATAATACTGACCAAGCTTTCTGAAAAGATACCTGTAGATGTGAAATCTCTCCTTCTCTCAGTTTTAGCTGTGACTGAAGGTTTTCAATTATACTTGAACCTGATCCCATCCTTATTGCATCATAGAGATTGCTCCCACTTGTAGCTACTGGTCCAAATGAGTGATCATGAGGATCATCCTACAAAGAGAAGGTTAGACAAGCTGAAAATTAGACAAAAACATGCCATTTAGGAGAATCTTCCTTCTCCTAAATAAAACAGAATTTAAGATGTAAAATTACACCGGGCTAGGCAAGCATTGCAATGCTTAAAGCTTGTTTTCAAAATGAAAGCTTGAGGTGAGCAGGTACAATTTGGGATAGCTCCCTACTGGCAAGTTCTCCTGACCCTTACACAGGTGCCATTTAGCACTGACAGCATGAACTGGACTGACAGGGAAGGAGCAGCAGTAGGAGACAGCAGAGTACAGCTGTCAGTGATGCTGCCTAGGGAGCAGGGGCGTGCCCTAAACCAGGAGTGCAAGTACAAAATCAATCAATTGTGGGCTTTACAATCACAGATGCCTTGTCAGAATTTTAGATATTTCTGCACAGGATGTTACCTTGTCTAAGGCCAATACAATCTCAAAGACTCATTTTCTACATTACTAAAAGTTGTTGAGGAAAGTAAGTGGTCTGTCAAGAAGAAAAAAAACATTATAGGTGATCTATCCTACCTGTGAGAGGAAAGAGGTCTGGAGACCTGCCATGTCCACCCCACTTATGGAACTGGAGCGGGACATTGACGGCGTACTCGATACAGTTTCAACTGTAAATGACTTTCGGTCCTTAAAAATAAAGAAAGACATCCAATATCACCAGTTAGAAAAAAAAAAAACAAACAACATTCACAATATGCTAAAAGAGATTCTATAAATAGCCTCCCTTTTCCCAACAAGTATAGAACATAGAAATGTGATAGATTTTCTACTTGCCCCATACCTAGAACACGAAAGTTCAAGCATATCTTCACGATCTCAGACCTTTCAAGAAATTAAGACAGAAGCTACAAATTACACTGAAAAAAGGTTCTCTTTCAAGTAGCCAAGAGAGATTCAGAGGCAGTTTTGTATGTCCAAATGCATCACAGAAAGAATATCTGACACCCAGAAGAACACCTCTTCTTAGAATGAATATTAAGGCCTTTTTCTTCTTTTTAAATAAAGTGTATGAACTAAATTCCAAGATTTTTCACATGCTAATAATTCACTGATACCTCTTCAAAACAGACTGGCCCTTTTTCCAAGCAGTATCTACAAGCATGCCAACCTCTGAAGGGGAAAGCACTTAGATTTTTAGGACTGTAGACAGTAAGAAACAACAGAAATAGTTTTAGTTGAATACTAACTGCTAATTAGTGGTAATGAATTTAATGATGACTATTGAGGACTGCTGTGTGACCTGTGACTTAAGCCTGAAAGCATGTGGAACATTACACACAGTCATGGAAAAACAGGAATTCAGTGGAAGCAATGCTGGTAGTCTAAGCAAAGAAAAGAAGTAGCTTCAGAAGCAAAAGGATCCAAGAGCACTCAAACACAGAGGATTAAGACAACAATCCATATTTTACCTCTTCTCAGGTTAAACAGATTATTACTCAAAACTTATTTCAGTGTGTCTAACACAACACCTGTTTCACTGGAAAGATACTGATAGGTACTAAAAGTTTCAGGTATAGATATCTACCAAAATAAAGACAATATCAGTAAGACTTAGAAATGTCAGGTTTTGCCACCTTCTCCTTTGCTGCTTCTTGCACAAGAATAGCCTTCTTTCTCTCCTGTTCAACCTTCATCTTCTCCATCTCTAACTGAGTAGCCAGCAGTGCCTGCAAAGATAAATACAACATGTTAATCTCCTGCTAGCTCAGACTTCAACAGTAACAGAAATCACAGCTGAACTAGGCAATACCTTTTCTTTCTTTGCATCTTCCAAGGTTTTTGCATACTCATCTTTGAGCCCTTCTAGTTCAACCTCATACCTACACAGAGGAAAGAGGTAAAGTCACTAAATAAGTGTTCTCCATTCTGTTCTCTGTAAATTCAGATCCTTTTAAAACAAACACAGCTGCAAGGCTACAAAATGTTATGAATGTAACACTCTCCCATCTTCAGCATGAAACAAAGTACCCTAAACAACATTATTTGTAACATTCTGTCAACATGTTGCACAGTCATATCAACACTCCATTTCACGAGTTATAAAGAAATGCTGTTAACCAAAAAATTAACTCACCTGCTGTTTTCATTTTCCATTTTCTTCAATTTGTTTCTCTCAACCTCCAGCTGAGCCTGAAGACGGGTATTTTCTTGCCTTAAAAGACTATTTTGAGATTCAGAAGAAGACATCTGAATTTTATTAGCAAGAAGTTCTTCTGTAGCAGCACGTTCCCTCTCAGCAGCTGCTGCTAGAAGAGTTTGAGACTCACCTAATAGTGAAAAAAAACCCCATGGAATTTAACCTTTTTTGATCAAACATCTAGAACATGAGACATTTACTTATACATTAAAATTGAATTTGAGATTTTTTTTTTTAATATGCAACTAATCTTTCTTAAAAAATACATCTTGTTTTCTTTTGTATAGGTGATTACATATTTTCCACACACAGACAGAGGATCAAAGACATGCAGAATGAAGAGATTTCAAACTCTTTCAGAATGCAATATACAACTACAGATAATAGGTTCCTACTGTATCAAACAATCTATGTATCATCACCTACGCAGTTAGGTAAGCAATTCCAAACTTTACAATTTGGAATCCCAGCATCAGGCTCCACACTGGAATACTGAAAGTACTACACCTTAACCCCTGCACTTTATGTTACAGTGTGTTTTACAGAGAACCAGTGGATTACCTGTCCAAGAACCTTGGCATAACCCCTGCCCCACACCATTTCCTTACAGGAAAGCATTTGGTGCTCATCTCTCCTGATCCACCATCTACACACTGGGCAAGTGTTAAGCCCTTTACATTTACCTTCCTGCATCTCACAACTTCACCCAGAGCCTCACAGCTCAGTAAAAGCTAAACCACCTTACCCAGCCTGTCAGAGAGGTTCTTTTCCAGTTTTTCCCATGCAGAGGTCTGTGCTCCTAGCGTGGCCTGCAGGTTCTCTATCTGTCGCAGCAGGGGCCGTGTAGCAGAGGTAACACTTTGGCTCAGCTCTTGGTTCCTGCTCTCTGCTTCTTGGAGTCTCTGAAATCACAAATTAAATACAATTAAAACCATATGATGGATTAAAAGGTTTATACAGAATTCATCTAAATAAATAGCAGCTGCTTTGCATTCTAAAATTATTGCTTTACAATCTAACATTCATGTGGTTCAAACTCACTGTAAAGTGTGAAATTCCAAGAGAGAAGTTCAACATTTTTAGATACATAATAGAGCAAGGGCCCAGAAATTCCAGAGCTCCAGACATCCTTTGAAACATTTTGGCAACTATCTATATTCTGGCCCTTAAGAACAATAAAAATATTCTTAAGAAGCAGATAAAGAGTCATTCAAAAGTATATTTGCCAACAATTTTAGATGACTATCACATAATGTCTGTATTTTGTCTCATATTTTAAAAGAACAGCATGCTATTTAACGGGCATCAAAACAAAATGATGACTTTTTTTCCACTATGAGATTTAAAAAAACATTTTCATTAATGTTTTTATTGCTCCTCTGCAAAGGACAACCACTGCAGGTAACCAGGAAAATAAAGCCTCTCTTTCAGGCTGTTTATGTCATGGTAGCATTTTATTTTTGGGTTTTTAGAAGTCCTCCTTGCAGATGTAAGTTGGCATCATCTGTTTGTTATCATACCTGTTGTAATTCACCAATTTCCTGCCGTAAATAATCTTCTTTTCTTGCTGCCTGCTGCTCTGCACGTTGCAGTGCCAGCCTCAGGTCTGCCACCTAAATAAACAAGAAATTATTACTAAACTCTTGCCAAAAGTTATATCATCACTTATTCCTGTGCCACAGTACCACACCATTTTCAAACAGGATATGTTTGTTTACAACTAAAGGCTTCATTTTTGCACACACACAAATAGTTATAATATGGAACAAGTTCCATGGGGAAGAAATCCTCTGGGTATTTGCTAAGTACACACAAAAAACAAGTTCCACCTGGTTTATTACATCAGGTGTACACAGCACCTCAGTACATTCACTTGTTGAATTAAGGAGTTTATTGACTGCATTTCAGACACACCTGAATTGCCAAAGCCTCCTGTTGCTGCCGAGCTTCCTCCTGAGCCTTTTCCAGTGCTAACCCAAGCTCTTCCTTTGCCTTCATTTCCCGACTCAGGGCTGCTTCCTGAGCCTCGCTGTCCTTTGTGGCATTAGCTTTATGAAGATCTGCAAGTTCCCTGGGGAGAAAAAGCAAACCCCAATACACTTAAATGCCAACAGGAACCTGGCAAATAACTTTGTTACATTTAAATATTTCACAAGCATTGCACAGAGAAGAGCCACAATCTCAAGGTGTGATTGCTTTGCTTACTTGTATGCACTGTCGAGTGCTGCCTGCACACTCCTGTTCCTTTCTTCAAGGTCCTCCACTTCAGCCTGAAGTTTAGCAAGGTCCTTTTCTTGTCTCTCCACAACACCATTCAGTTGTTTAATGCTGTCTCGATGCTGCTTCTCAAGGTCTTCCTTGCCATCAAGCACCTGTCAGTGCAAACACAAAACATGAAACAAACTCCAGGATGTGGGGCTGACAACACTGTCTGAGGACAGTGACAGAAGTGGCAATCAATTTGGGATAAAGTGACTAAAACCATCTATCACTTGGCAGGAAAAGAAAACTTTTGCTTCTCTGCCTTCCCCAGAGGAAGCTGCTCTTCACCACAATTTCACAAAATTTCACATCCTGGCTCTGAGATTTGTAAGGTCTTGACTCAATCACTAACTGCCCCAATTTTGGTGGTGCAGGTTTTCCAGCTCACATGGTAACTAAGCAGTGCAAGTGCAAACAAGGAGCTGAGAAGACGTCTCACTGCGGCTTTACAAGCAATACACACATAAATCACAACTCAGTGCTGCAATAATGTGAAATAGTGAGACCCTGGCACAGGGTGACCAGAGAAGCTGTGGCTGCTCCCTCCCTGGAAGCATTCAAGGTCAGGCTGGAAGGAACTTAGAGCACCCTGGGATAGTGGGAGGTGTCCCTGCCCATGGCAGAGGGGTAACTGGATGGGCTTTAGGGTCTCTTCCAACCCAAACCATTCTGGGATTCTATGAAAAGAGAAGTCTCCAGAAAATAAAAAAAAAATGTCAATTTATCAAGAGCCCATCCTAATGGAAATTTTGAAGCTAATATAAAAAGCTTTAAAAAAAATAAAAATAAAATCAACAAATATCTCACCTGTTTTAAATGCTGCAACTCCTCTTCCATTTCCTTAATCTTTTTGTTTTGTTTTGTGTTAATATTTTCTCTCTCTTTCTCTTTGGCTCTTAATTTCTTAATAATGTTGGAATTATGCAGCTGCTGTTTGGACAGCTTTTCTCCTGTGAAGAAATTGAACACGAAGCTAGTGCATATTGGTTATATTCTATGGATTCTCCCTATTCACAACAGCCTTGCTCTTCAGTCCCATGAAAATAAAACTCAAGTAAATATGGAAATACTTATTCTTACAATTTTTCATGCAAGTTCTTAAGTTTAAATCTATCTTATCCTGAGATACCCTTGCTACACTGAGCTACAGTGAGATAGAAGAGGATGTAAAAGGCTTTGAAAATAAGTGAGCTCGTCATGCTGAAAAAAAAATAAAATTACCTTCTCATTTAGTATCTATATTTTACTTCCAAAATTAAAAAGTATTAAAGGAGACACTGTAGGAATGCCATGAGCAATGCCCTTGTTAGAGTTCTTCTGAATGGAACATGGAATGTTGTTCTGCACATGCTGGTTTTATCTCTCAGCACCTCTTAATGCATCTTGCAGGAAGCATCTCTCCAGCCATCTGTACCTGCCTGACCCCTCCTGTTGCTCTTTGCTACTCACTAAATGCTTCCAATGTTCAGAAATATCCAACATGCTTCAAATTTAGCACTTTTTCCCTACACAAAGAAGGCTTGTATGCAAGGCCAGTACATTTCAAACTATTCTACACATTTTTACTATAAAAAAAAGATAATTCTCACCTTCCTCCATTAATCCTTTGATTTGTTCTTCTTTTTCTTTCAGTAATTCAGCAGTTTCATTGGTATTAAGTCTAGTAGCCAATTCCTCTTTAACAGTCTTTACTTCCTAAATAATAGGATAAAATATTTAGGACTGTTTATTAAAATATATGTAGGGAAAAATACAGAGTGAGTTACACTGATCACCTTTTTCTTCTGCCCTTCTGCTCAAAAGGCTTTGCTTGGAAAACAATTTCAGTTGGAAGGGAACTCTGGAGATTATCTGATCAAAACAGATTGCTCAGAGCCTTATTGCATCAAGTTTTAAAAACCTCCAAGGACTGAGACCCTGTAAATCCTCTGCACAATTTGTTCCAACTTCCCCATCTCTATTTAATTTTCTTGAAACTTTTCTAATAGAGAAAAACCAACCTGTCCTATTCACACATAGATACTGAATAATTTTTCTAGTTCAACTCTCTGCTGTGTCAACACAGTGACAAACAGCTGAAAAATATTTGTTTTCCTGTTAGATTTGAGTTTCCTTTTTGCATTAAGCTAGAGAAATGAAATGCTGTGACACCAGGTCAAGAACATTTAAACCCCATAAACTTTGTTGCTGTAGATTTCTTTGCTCATTCCAAATCAATCTGTCATCAGACCTTAATTTTCCCACCAGTTAATCCTCTAAAGAAGTCATTCCCATTCTTCATTCCTTTCTCACATCCCCTGGCCATTCTCCCTCACCAATACAAGTACATATTTGGTACAAGGTGAATGAGAGCACACATTAAATCTCTTTTTCTCCCAAACCAGACCAACATAAATGAGTTCCCCAAGCTGGTTCACAGCACAGATACAAGAACGCTGATGTGAACACCAGGTAGCCTGGATGGCTGGAAACAACTCATTCTGGTTACTAACAGCCTCATGATTTTCCCTGGGTTAATGTTTATTGTTTTTCCTCAAGAAATTCAATTGTGTCATAAACTAACAAATATTAATTTCATTAAAAAAAGCCAAATTACCTTTTTAGCTGCATCTCTCTCTTTGCAGGCTAGTTGGAGCTTCTTCTCAGCATCTGCAATTCGCTGAGCAAACTCCTCTTTAAGAGATGAAAGGCTGCTGCTCTCTTCTTTCATTCTAAACATTTCACTGCATTTAAAATGAACACTTCAGAACAGTTGCATGGTTATGTGACACTTCAAACAGTTTGCAACAGGTTGTCTTAAATGCTTTTAGAAAGTACTTTAGTTTTATTACACATGATAAGCAAGTCAAAAAACTTCACATCTATATTAGAAGTCCTAACCAAAGATCTTTATTGTAGTTTAACCATGCAAACAACTAAATTCTTAATTTATCTTAAATGTTTTGCCCTTTGATAAAGTCTTTTTTAATTAACCATATTCTGTATAATATAGAGGGTGAATTATTTAATTTTTAAGTTAGGAACAATTTAGTCATTAAACAACAGCATCAAGTATCTGTAAATTTTATAACTCAATATTTGATCAATGACCTGGTAAATACAACTGTCCAATTTTTCCCCTTTTAACTCTAACCAAATTAAATAATAATTTCAGGTTTTTCCCTACAGCCAGCCCTTCTTCCATACTTTCACTGCCTACATTTTAGTCAACAAATTACTCAGTAAATCAGGTTCATCCCTCTGTATCAGAAAAGTCATTCTCTCTTAATAGTTTAATTCAGTCTTTTAAGAATGAACTTTATTAATAACCAAGACTGACTCTCCACATTTGTCATTCCTACTGCTTGCTCACTGAAAAATCTTTCCCCAGCCCCCTCCCAAAAAATATTCTGGCTCCAAGAAATAATATGTCTTTAAAAAAAATCCCATCACAGCACATGCAATCATTATTTCTACCTTTCCAAAACAGTGTATGTCCCCTGTAACCTTTGTTCCAGTCATAAAGCTCCTTGTTTTATCTAAGATTTTATTACAGCAAAGTCACAGTTACAGCACAAAGCGTATTTTCATACTTACTCTTTTAGGTTATCATAAGCTTCTTCCAGGCGAGCCCTTTCTTTACTAGTACTTAATAACTGTATTTCCCTCTTCTCCAGCTTCTCAGTTAATGAATCAATCATCTGGACAAGGTTTTATAGATAAAGATCAGATCAATGGGACAATTAAAACACAAGAGGGGCAGACTTTCCCCCACTCCATTCCCTCACAAGATTATTTAAAACGGAACTGGTCAATGTTTCCAGGACTTTGAGGTATAAGTCAGTGAGGATTACCCTGTTTCTGCCACACACCTGAACATAAAGACACCTGTTTTCTACAGGTGTAGAAATCCTACTAAACCAGTACATCTGGCTCAAGTAAGTTTCTCAGCAAAATCATCAACAGTGATATTTAATTATACATGAAGTTTTTAAGTAGAGATGATGCTCTATAAAACTATGGCTTACATTAAGCATTAAGACTCCCAATATTCTTTGAATTATTTCTGTGGGAAGGTCTCTTCTGTGAAATGTTAGCACAAAGCAGATGAGGGAAGAAAACTTTCACTCAGGATCAAAAGCTCTTAGTTCACATCCTTAAAATAATTTCTTAATACCACATTTTGGATAGCTGAATACAGACAAATAACAAAAATACAAGAAAATATACAAATGTAGCCACCAAAGAATTAAAATAATACATTTGACCTATTAAGCTTCCTGTTTGCCACCCCTACTCACAATTCACAACAATGACAACCAGGTGGATCAAGTGAAACCCACAACTATCTGATCAGAAATTTTACCAGTACTGTTCCACTGCAGAATATCAAGGACAGTTTTCTACAGGGTCAGACATTTCAGCATCAATTAATTCATTCAAATCAGCTGATATGATACAGGGCAATGTAAGAAAACATCAGGAGTTTCACTTGCAATTTAAAGGTGTGTTTGCAATACATGTTTTACTTACCTTTTTAAGCTCTTGCTTTTCAGTGACCTCTTCTACCAATTGCTCCCCAGCATCCTGCTGCGGCTCGGCCTCCTCCTTCACCACCTGTTCTTCAACAGTTTGCACAGCAGCAACCAAAACAACATCTGGCTGCTCAGAATTAACAGGGGTTGCACTTCTCCCACTCTCTTCCATCTCAGCTTCCTCAGCATGTAACACAGGAGCATCATTCAAGTTTTCCGATTTATTTTTCAGGGCGTCAACCGTTTCTGTCTTTGGCACGGACGGACTGACAGCGACAGACGCTGAAGCAGAAGCCCTGCCTGATAACTCATCATCTGAATTTATTTCACTGACACTCCTGCTGTCCAAGGACTGCACACTGAATGAATCGATTCTTTCAAAAGCATCCGAGGAGCCGCAGCTCTCGGTCATTTTCTGGAAGTCATCTAAGCGATTATAATCCGCACAGGCAGACGTGGATAAGAGCTGGAACGATGTCTGCATGAGGTGAAGGCTGGATTTTGAATCTGCAGCTTCTTGTCTGGAACTTACTGAACTCTCGCTTATCACACTTTCATGGTCCAGAACTTCAATATCACTCGTTGTGGAAGTGCCTGAGGAGAAGGTGCTGATGGGAGGTGATGGGGTATTGCTTTGTCTGTCTTCTGTCTTTCTCTCCTTCCCTTCCAAACCCAGGTCTTTCCCGCCTGCTGCAAGGGGCTGAGAAGTGCCCTCAGGTGCACCTGCTGCTCCATCCCCTCCCACACTGCATTTTTCAGTAGGAGAATCTTCAGGTTCTTCAAAATTTAGAGCAGACACATTTTTGTCAGTAACTTCATTTGTGCTTGCCTCATGCTGAGCATCAGATTTAAGCACAGGATTCTCTTCTAATTTCTCCTTGGGACCATCAAGGCTTTTCAAGTCCAGCACAGCTACGGAGGAATCCTTCACTTCTGTCTCTGCTGTCACTGGCCCTTCCAGCTGGCTGGAGGGCTGAGACTCCTTTAAAGTGCTTTTCACCTCCTCTTTGGGTCGCTGTGATTTGGCTGGAGGTTTGGACACCACTGGGTTTTTCTGAATACTCTGAACGTCTGTTGGAGAGAGAAAGGCACTGAAGAAATTTTCAGATTCATCCACTACTGTCCTCCTCACTGGCTTTGTGATTGCTGTGGGAGATACTGGCTGATTCTGGGGTTCTGTATTTGAGCTCAAACCCCAGGAAGATGTGTCCCATCCTCCACTTATGAGAGAATTTGTTCCTAAAAAATAAAAACAGGAAAAAAGGGAGATAGACAAAAAAAAACCACTTTGAAGGTTACACGCAAAAGCAAATGTGGCCTCCTGCTTCTCTAAAGTGATAGGAGTCTAGGCAAAAGAATCTGAAAAGTTGTAGTTAAAATAATTATATGGATTTTAAAAGGAGGAAAAAATTACAAGGCCTTAAAAATAATCTGCAAGTAGCACATAAACACTTCACACACCATGACAGAAAACAGAGGGGAAAAACTTTAAGTATTTTCAGAATTTACAGTGTAAGAAGGGTCCTTGCCCTTCAGTTTCTGACAGATTTCATTTTGCCTTATACACCAAGCATCAGCATGGTGCTGACAATAAAAATCAGCAGCAGCCCAGCTGAGAATTTTTTTTCTTCTGTGGAGAAATACTGAATTGTTCCATTCTGAAGCTACCCTAAAATAACATCAACAATTCCCATTATTTTATTTCTTGCAGGTTTTCCAGGACTTGTTAACAGCAAGAATTTCAGCATCAAAATGCAGTAGCATCTGAAGTAAGAAAGAGAAACCAAAAAACAATATCCAATTTTGTACCTAGAAATATACTCTAGGTAACATAGTTATTTCAGGCTACTTAAAAACACTCACTCTATACATCAGCATCTATTAAAAAAGCTGAGTTACAATATTTAAAGCTAGCTTCCACTTTCAGAACAGTTGATAGCTGTTGGCCTCAAGTTCAGATAATTACTGTTTTCATTGCCCAAAATACTACAAACATGTGATTTATTACTAAAAGCATCTGACTTATTGCTACCTTGTCCATGATTCAACAGCTTCAGAAAAAGTTCAAAGTTAACTGTAACATTCAGAACATATTTTGATATCTCTTGAAAACAAGTATGTTTCCCCTGAAAACCAGATGCAGGCTGATCTTTGCTGCTCTTCTTATAAATTACAAAACTACCATGAATATTAAGATATAAATCAAATTTTAAAAATGATTGGACAAGTCTAAAGCTTTGAGAAGTATTGTATTTTTCCCTAAACAATTCTTGCATCTTAAGATGACACCAGACTACTTACACGACTGCCAAGACCTCAAAGGGACAAAGACATCCCAAACTGACCTTTGCTGAGCAACCAACCTGGAAAACACTTTCAATTCCTACAGCTTTCAATTTTCAGAAATCTCACTCTGCTGTGGCTACACCTGAAATAACCTTTTCCTCCTCCAAATTCACATAGTTCTCCTAGATCTATCTAGTGTAACAATTACACTGATTCCAGATGACTTAGTTTGCCATCCTTTTTTTATTATTATTATTATCTTTAAGATATTATTTTTGGGGGAGTTTCTAATAAGAGGGCTCCTTTTTGCTCTTTCTCTTCCAAACAACAGCTTAGGGCTGACTATTCCTTCAGGTTCTCCATTAGCACACATACAGGGGAGACACTTCCTCATAGCCATGGCAACTTTTCCACCAGCACATTCCTTTCAACAGATTGAAAGGAAAAAGTCTGAGGATTATGAACTGGAAGCCACTAAAAGTAGGAACTTCATTTGGTTCACATAGACCAGACTTTCAGCTTCTACTCTGCCCTCCCTGTTGCAAAGAGTGAATCCACGCAAGCTTCTGAAAAGAGCGTGATTGCCCCTTTTATATTACTCAGGTTTTACCAATTAATAACTCGTCAGAAAAAAAATATAAACAAATAACACCTCGATGAGCAGAGCTATGAGGTTCAGGGCTACTCATGCGATAAAAGCAGGACACTGGTGACACCAGCCAGGCTCTGAGCTTCGTGCCGGTGTCACCCCGCACGGGGGGCGCGGGAGGGATGAGAACGTGGATTAGACAGACCGGGAGGGGCTCCAAATTATATAAACCGGGGGGGCTTTGGGCGGGGTGGCCGGTTAAACCTCCCCAAGGTAAGAAAGAGACAGCGGAGGAGGCGGGCGAGGCGAAGGCCGCGAGGTTCGCCCGCTCTTACCGTCACCGTAGTCGGGGATGACGGCGTCGGGCCAGGGGCTCTCCTCGGCCTGGATGTCCAGCACCCGGTCGATGGACTTCTGCGCCTGCGACAGCGCCTGCTTGGCGAAGCTGGACAGCTGCGAGGCGTTGAACCAGCTCATCCTCGGCGGCTCGGCAGCGCCCGTTCCCCGCAGCTGCCGGCGGGGCC